TTTTTTTTGTTGATGTGACCACTCTCATGTTCAATGTTATCGATGAATGTTTGTTAATGTTCAGTTCTGATTATGCGTCTATTTTTTCAATTTGTTTATATATTTGTTTTGATGTGGATAAATTTCGTTCTCTTCAAATTTTGTTATTGTTACATTGAATTCGCATTCGGGGTTCTTGATATGGCCCAAATTCCATTAGATTTAAGTGATGGCGTTGGTTTGCGTGGTTATAAATGTATATCTGAACGTTTGATCAATTTCAACCATAGTTGAACATATGGACAAGCTTTCTGAGAAGTTTTTATCGTTAGAGCTGATTTTGATTTACTGCAAAACAATGTGACGAATGTGGATATCATTCATTTTGGAAAATGATGAAAATGGTTCAATGTTACTTGTAGAATATAAATTTCATGAAGTACATCACACTAATTATAAAATAATATCAATAATGTTTCTTAAAGAAACCGATACCAATGATTAGCAATATGAAAACATATCATAGTAATAATTGCAACAATAACAGTAATCCTCTTTATACTAATAATACGCCGTATGTTTCTTCAATTCATTATTAAAAAGGCAACATATGCGGTGGTGCTGATGTGCGTATGCTTCTAATCTTATTAATTACATATTGCACTACTTCGCATCTCTTAAATTAATACTATTGTTCTTGGTGAATGAGCATACGAACTTATGTATCATAATAATCACAATAATGCTCTAAAATGGCATCTTATTAGCTGCTCTTTACTAGAAGGGATGAAAAAACATGAGGGGAAAACATTATTAATAAGACATGCTATCATCTGAATGGGTCTGTTGATTTAATCAGATAGGGTGTTGGATTGTGCCTTTAAAATATAATAAATCAAGAAATAGCCGATAAAAAACGATTCCCTATCTATGTACAACATGACATGTCAGGAAAAGTGATCAGTTATCTCGTGAGAATGTGAAATGATAACTGTGAAATGACGTTTCGAAGGTTTTCCATGTTATTGATGCTGCGCATATGGCAATTCCTAAACGAACCTAGGAGCTGACTGGTTATCATTTAACAACTTCTTCAATGCAGTTTCGTCGTGTTGATCAAACTGCTTATAAGCAATAACGATTATTCTGTTATATTCTAAATGATTGCTCCATGGAAACAATTAATCGGATCACATATTGAAAAGATTTCACAATTTTCTCATGTTCCACAAAACTGTGACCGGACAATCTGCCTAAAGACGTTTTGCCTAACAGACAGTTTGCCTAAGAGACAGTTTTTCAATGGATATTTTGCTTAATAGGCAAACTGTCCTTATGCAAAACGTCTTTAGGCAGATTCCCCGGGTAACCTACGAAATCCATTCAAAACTACATTATTTTAAGAAAATGAACATTGCAGTATTTCAACTGATCATATGCACGCAAATAAGAAGAGGTAACCTCGCTTGACATATTCAGAGAAGAAGACACCTATCGATGTGGCAAAGAGATGGATGTATCGATGTGGAGGATGCATAATGTCCTCCACTGTATTTTTACCGAGAATCAGTGCTTAAACACGTCTTGGACACTCAGAAGCGACCCGCTCACGCAGATACACCTCACATTATGAATACCGTGCGTAAACGAT